GGCTGCAGGATAACTCTTTAACTTTAAATCACAACAAAACAGTTTCAATGTGTTTTCCATTAAAGAACAAAGCACTGGATGGATTTAAAATCTAAATTGACCAAAAGGAAATCAAGGAAGTGAGTGAATTTAAATATTTAGGTGTCATTGTAGACTCTAAGCATAAGTTTGATGCCCATATTAAGAAAATGTCTAAAACTATTAAGACAAATTTGAACTGTTTTCGTATGATAAGATCATGTATATCTCTTAAAGCAGCTCAAATGTTTATGCATGCTATGATATTATCATATATGACCTATTGTGCGATAATCTGGGGTCAGGCTTCCCAATCAGTTGTTAAACCTGTAATGTCATTGTACAAACAAACTTTAAAAGTAATGGATCAGAAACCAATGAAATGGCATCATTGTCAAATTCTTCAAAAGTATAATTTGTTAAGTTTTGATAATCTTTTAAAGTTTTCATTTATAAAAACAGTATTTAAGTGTATATATGGCCTTGTCCCTGATGTGATCTGTCAGTTGATACAAAAATTGACTTTGAAAAGATTTGTTTGAGTTTATTTTAAAAACTCGACTTGACTTTTGATCTCAGACTACAAATCTGAGCACAGTTTGAGATCTCTTTTTCTCCATTTAATCTCATCGCTGTCAAAGAGAAACAATTAAACAATAGAAAACTTTGTTTTTCTCTCCAATGGGAAAATTGTCATTTTTGGTTGAACTACTCCACTGAACGTAGCAGGAAGAGTTCCAGAACAGCTGCTGTAACGGAGACTCACAGTCCGGTGAATTTCATCAACCAATCACTATGGAGAGCAGTGCTAGCAGAGAGGCAAGAGGTGAGAGTGATGGGAAATTTCGAGCACACAGAGAGGAGAGGTTAATGGATAGCAAACACGACAAAGAGCTGAGAGCATCAGCGGAGAAACCAGCAAGCGATAAAGAGGATAAAGAGAAAAGAGGAGATGATGAGGAAAGAGCTCAAAGGGCTGTGTGAAAATGGATCAGCACTTGCAGAGTGGACGCTTTTCTCTGCTCTTCCCTCAATCTTTTCAGAAAATCATAATTAAGCAAAGCTAATTACCAGCTCTCCCTCGCTCCCTGAACTCTTCCTTTGTAAAGCTCCTGGCGCTTTTGTCATCATCTTGTTTCCCCGCTGGCATCTTTCACACGGCTGTACAAAACGCTTCTGCCTGCGGTGACCTTTTCCATTAACAAACGGAAAAAGGACTTTAGAGATGCGTAAGATAAACTGTAGACTTTAGACTAGATTTTGACATTTTCTGTAGTGCTGTTTACCTGTGAAAAAGATGTCACCAAAGGTGGATTTCAGTGCATTAATAATTCTATCGCTAGGGGGTTCCCTACACATCCAAGTAAAAAGAAACCACCTTCAAATATTTATGATATTAAGATCTCTAGCTATATGAAGATATGTACAAAATGTATTTATTTATAGAAATTAATACCTTGTTATTCCACAAGGATACATTAAACTTTTGTGTAAACAGTGAGGACATTTATAATGTTACAAAATAAAAAATACTATTCTCTTAAAGAATTCTGAAAAAATGTATCACAGTTTGAAAATGCGCTTCGACATTGCTAATAACAAGAAATGTTTCTTCTGCAGTAAATCAGCATATTAGAATGATTTTTGAAGCTTCACGTGATAATGAAGACTGCTGAAAATTCAGCTTTGCATCAGGAATAAATTACATTTTAAAATATTTTTAAATAGAAAACGAACTTTTTTAACTTTTTTATAACCTTGCTATGGAAGCCCATTTCCACCACTGAAAAAAAAAAAATTATAACGACTTTTTAGTTATAAAGTCCAATTTTGAGGGGGAAAAAAGACTGATATGTTCTCAGAAATGCGAGTTTATATCTCACAATTCTGACTTAACTCGCAACTGGGTCTTATAAATTCTGACTTTTTTCTCAGAATTGCAAGTTTATATCTCAAAATTGTGACTTTATAACTCACAATTGTGAGTTTATATCACGCAATTCTGACATAATTTCTCAGAATTACAAGTTAATATCTCACAGTTCTGACTTTATAACTCACAATTACGAGTTTATATCTCACAATTCTGAGAAAAAAGTCTTTTTTATTTTTTTTTATTCAGTGGCGGAAATGGGCTTATACATACCTTGCTGAATTAAAGTATTAATTTATTTAAAAAAAATAATAATAATCAAAGAATCCTGAAAAAGTCCCATAGGTTCCAAAAAAATACTAAGCAGCACAACTGTTTCCAACATTGATAATAAATCAGCATATTAGAATGATTTCTGAAGGATCTGACAAATGGCTGATCAAAGAATCCTGAAAAAGTCCCATAGGTTCCAAAAAAATACTAAGCAGCACAACTGTTTCCAACATTGATAATAAATCAGCATATTAGAATGATTTCTGAAGGATCTGATAAATGGCTGATGAAAATTCAGCTTTGCCACTACAGGAAAAAGTATATTTTATATTTTAAAGTATATTAAAATAGAAAACCATTATTTTAAATTGTAATATTATTTCACAATATTACTTTTCTTACTGAATAAATGCATCCTTAATGAGTATAAGAGACTTATATAAACGTGTACAAACTGTGTATATATAAACAATAATTCTAAAATGGTTTTTAGATTCTACATTTTTATAAATATTTTAACCAACTGGTTCTTAATTAGAATCAGATTCATTAATCAAAAAAAACTGTAACAACGATTTTAATGATGTTATATATGTACATCGAGTTGTTTGTTGTTGCAAAATAAACTAATGTGTGTTTATATGGAAATTACATTTGAAATTTGTAATGTTGCAGTTATATAAGAAAATAATTCAAAATGCAATGGAACTGAATGTACACATATTATTTAAGATCCAGTTCTCAACTCCCAAGCTAATCTATAACATCTCAGAGCTCCTCCAACGCTGTGAGGTCTGTTAGATCTCTGTAAAAACCCCAACTATCAATCCCGCTCAGTTTAACCTCAAACATGCTGCCCGTGTAATGGATTCACACAGCCGAGTAAAGCTTTCGGATAAAGCAACGCTGTTGTGATTCTGCTTGATCCATCAGGCTTAGCGATGGGTGAGACGCCTCATGCAACGACGCATAGACATACTTCCTTTTTCTCTGAGATTCTGTGGGAAAATGATGCTAATTTATCTCAGCAAGCCTCCGCAGTCACTCGCTCCACACGGCAAGAGTCAATGGAGAAACAAAGAGGAGATGAGAACAGAGCAAACAAACAGACAGCGCAGAAACACGGCTGTCTGCCGGACTTGTCAAGTCCTATTGTCCAGGAACGCCTGGATTGGTCTTTAGCATCGATTGATGGAGGCCAACTGGGGCCTGGATGAGAGGTGAGGATCTATTTACGTCTTCAAGTGTCAAATACATGGCATTACTGAGTGAAATGAAAGAGACAGCACAGAAAGAGGAGAGAGGCTAGCAACTGTTTTTTCAAAAAATTAACTGTGAGGAAAAAGAAGTAAAAATACCAGTTTTTCCCACTCTAGATGGCAAGTGAAAAGTGAGAGGTGAGAACAGATTTGGCCAATATAAAATCTAAATGTACCCTATTTACTTATCCAGTTAACCCTATTCAATTATCTAAAACAGAAACAGTGTATTCAACGAGAAAAATATAGGAATTACATACCAGAATGGAGGATTTGTGGGTTCAGCCAAAAAAGAAAAGTCATGTAAAATAAAATCTAAAAATAATATAAATAAAACTTTTTTTAACTAGTTACCAAGGCAACATTTCTCATTTAAACTGATGTACTAAAATTTTAAAAACGGTATACAATAACAAAATATATATGACACAATCGACTAAAAATGTCAAAAACACACAAAAATTACTAAAACTAACAAAAACAAAAAATACATACAAATTAATATATAAAAATAAAACAACTGAAAGAAAATGATACAAAATATAATAGTAATTATGTGATATTAGTGATAATACTAAAATAACACTGGGGCACAATAAGACTGGAAATGTAAAATAAGAAAATAAAAAGTTACGAGTGTATTTTGATTTCATGCTGACTTGTTCCTACTCTTACTGTGCATGATTCATATTGCTCTAAATGTTTTCCTAATCTTCATCAAAATGCAATAATGTTGTCCACCTATGCAACAACTTTTTTTCTGCTGTAATCAACATGGGTGAGGCCAAATCCCAAGGACAAAAAAAACATCCCTGTCCTACATTGTTTCCCACTGAATATTCAGTTTCACCTTGAACTTTGTCCCATTATGAAAGTCAAATGCAATTTCTTGTTGTCTTTAACAAGCAGTAGTTATAGAAAGAATGGGGGTAAAATAATCTGACAGGACCAGGACCAATGAGCCCAGACTTAAAGGCACAATATGTAATTTTCGCCTCTGGAGGGCACGTATTCAAAATAAACAAAGAGGCAAAGGTGTAGTTTGATGACGCCGTGACTGAGTGTGGAATCATGGGAGTTGTGGTCTTCATCCCCACAGCCGATGCATCAGCTCTAAAGGTTTGCACTGCTGCTTGTGATGCAAACAAATCACTGAATCAGTTTTAAATCAATTCATTGAAATGGACAGTTTGAACTGATTCAATGAACTGAATCAAACGTAAAAAACTCTTTACCAGCTCCATTTTTTCTGCTCAAGAGATGCTATTAAAATGTTTTCCTTAACGCTTTCATACTTATCAATCACAAGTCAGGAAACATTGCAAAACTAGTCTAATGACACAATGTTAGGAAACCTGATATCCAAATAACAATAATGCTTATTTTATATCTCGCTAGCAAAAGCATCACGCACATATCAGAAATATTTGATATATCCCCCCAGCCCTGCAGCCTGTCCAAACATGTGCTATAGAAAATATACTCACATGCACAACGTGCACAACACACACACGCACAGATCAGAAGAAAACACATTTGCATACAATGTGTTTGCATACAAACTCTCATGCACACACCTGGAAGGGTCCGCTCGGATAGATCTCAGCATCTGCCTTCCTCCATTGGGGCCCCTGGTGTCCGGAGAGAGTCCAGACGGCAGAATCCACAGTGGCGATGCTCTTCACCCTCATCAGAACATTGAGAGTACCTGCAGACACACAGAAAACAGGTCAGAGGAACAGTGACACTTTCACCTTGGCTGTATACTATTGACTATCACTTTGCAGTCTAGTCTGGCCATAAAAATGCAAATATAAGCATAATATAACTTTATGATGACAAATGAGAGATGCACAACATTTCTGAAATCAAACAATGCCTCAATCTACACACGTACTCAAATCACAACAGCACAGAAAACAGTAGATCAGTTATTTGAGAATTTTCACAATCCCAATCAATCAGACTGGACCTTGTGATTCTGATATGCAATTTTTATATGCAATAGATAAAATTCTTTCTTATAAACAAAACAATGTGTGCCAACAATTGCATGTTCTTTTACCACCTCAGAAAAAAATGTGTGGGATTCAAACAATTACTGGATATCAAGGTCCATCAGGATCAGTGAATTAGGGCAAACTCAGGATTTGACAAATTATGACAGATCATTGCTTCTGCTCTAATAAGACCCCTTTGACCCGCCGCTGGTGTGAGTAGATTAGCATTTCTCTGAGGGATTGCACAAAGCCCGACTTTACTACTGTGACAAATATAAGGTCAAATACATAACCGTTGATCTAACGCAACCAAGTATCACCACTGCAGAACACTGGAAAACTGATTTTTCTAAGTTGTGTACTTTTCACTTTTACTCGAAGTGAGTGAAAGTGAAAAGTAAAAGGTGAAAGTTTAGTTTTTTGCAGAATGCACGGGCATGATTTGAAATATGAAATTAAATCAAGCAAAGCACTGTAAAATGTGCATGTGTGTTCGTGTGTGTGTGCGTGTGTGTGTGTGCGTGTGTTGTGGGTGTGTGTGTGTGTTCGTGTGTGTGTGTGTGCGTGTGTGTGCGTGTGTGTGTGTGTGTGCGTGCGTGTGTGTTTAAGTTATATATACATATAAAAAAAACATTTTTATAGATTACTGGGGTATGTTTTTCAAGATTCCACATTCAATTCGTTGTGTTACTTGCTATTTCTTTGTAATTATTTATGAAATTTACAAGCAATTTCTGAGTATAAAAGTAAATCCTGCACCAACATTTTTTCAGTGTACTATAAAATACGTGATTGCGTGATTTATTTGGAATGTGCTAAACAAAGGTCATTGGTTATAAAGTTTGTTACATGTCAAATATTATTACTTAAAACGAGTATTTAAACATTCTACTGCTGAAACTGCTATTTTTACTTTTATTTTCAGGCTTTGGAAGTTTTGCATTATACATTTGAGAATATGCATCCAAAAACCTGTTGCATGTTTGAAAAGTCAAAACTTTGAATATTGCTGAAACTCATTTGCTCATTTGTCCATTGTTTAACCTGCACACTTCTCTACTATACACCACAGCAATAACTTTATAATAACTTTGTTTAACATTCATAAAATTACAAAACGTTAATCAGATCATTAAAAGTGCAGCTCTGCTAAAACTGCTTGTCTGGAAAATCAAGATGTGACATCATGATAAATTGATCTATATTCATCAGACGGTCTGTGGGTTTGTCGTCTGAGACTGACATGTGATAGATCAGCTCCAGAAACACAACTCTCCACAGAAAACAAGGCAGAGGCATCTTGCACACACACACACACTGTGATTATGTGAGGTTTAGAGCGCTTAATATCAATGTCAGCATTGAAATCTGTCACAGACACTGAGCACAAACACACACACACACACACAGAGATGATGGAAGGCAGTGAGGCCAAGTGGCACTGAATATTGCTGAAACTCATTTGCTCATTTGTCCATTGTTTAACCTGCACACTTCTCTACTATACACCACAGCAATAACTTTATAATAACTTTGTTTAACATTCATAAAATTACAAAACGTTAATCAGATCATTAAAAGTGCAGCTCTGCTAAAACTGCTTGTCTGGAAAATCAAGATGTGACATCATGATAAATTGATCTATATTCATCAGACGGTCTGTGGGTTTGTCGTCTGAGACTGACATGTGATAGATCAGCTCCAGAAACACAACTCTCCACAGAAAACAAGGCAGAGGCATCTTGCACACACACACACACACACTGTGATTATGTGAGGTTTAGAGCACTTAATATCAATGTCAGCATTGAAATCTGTCACAGACACTGAGCACAAACACACACACACACACACACACACACAGATGATGGAAGGCAGTGAGGCCAAGTGGCACCTTTATGACTCATGCATTAAATTATTACTCTGACTTTGTGCTTAAGGGAAACCAATATATAATTCAGTTGCACTTTGGAACAGAGAGAGAGAGAGAGCAAACTTTTGTAGTGCCTCAAATGAAGTATTTGCTCTGAACAATAACACACACATATATATTCACTAATGTTTCAAAACTTTCACCTGCAGAGTCTACACGCTGCTCATCACATGCACACATAGAAGATAAAAGCAGACGAGTCCAGCCAACTAACCAGGCTTCACGTCTTTACTTATTCAGGACCAGCAGATATAAATGAATAACACAGCAGCACACAGCAACATTAACAAAGCAAACAGATGGTACAGTGACGAAGTGGCTCGCTCAAAGTACAAAACACATCCTAATAAACTCATCTAAAGCTGTCTGAACAATATCAGCAGATACTGACCACCAATACATCAATCCAGACACAGCTACATAAATAACTCCAGTATAGAGCCTTACACAGCTAATTATTATTTAAAGCTTATGTTGCTTTCTATATGAGCTTTCTCCTATCGCATACATTTGTAGTAATGTAAGACACTGGCATTTTCAACATTTGAATGTCCTGATGTGTCACTGACTCAACCAATGGTGTGATTTTGTATGGGATCACCTGTTTGACCAAATAATGGCATCCAAAAATTAAAACTATATGCATTACCATTGAAAGAAGTCTCTCTATTTCACTCTTCTATTTCAATATATTTTAAAATGTAAAGCAGATTTTTTTGTACTCATTCTTCAGTGTCACATGATCCTTCAGAAATTATTTGACTATGCTGATTTGCTGCACGAGAAACATTTCTAATCATTATTAATGTTGAAAGCAGTTGTTAAGGATGGCATTTACTTAAAATAGATTTTGAACAAACTTTTAAACAGTAGTGTATTGGTATATCACTTTTCACAATCCATATAGTTTATAGTAATTTTACAGAAATTGATGCATCAATGTTATTAATGTTCCTATTTACATTTACATTGATTCATTTAGCAAAAAAGTTTATCCAAAGAAAGGTACAAATGATGAACATCGTACTTGCCTTGAAGAGACCTTTTGAGGAACATCTTGTAACAATGTCAAAAGTTGCATTGTTACCTTTTGACTTTACCTGTAGCTCAAACACTCTTTTTGGTAGCAATATGAATGGTAAATTTTGAGCTTGAAATGTGTATTGTACAAGTTCAGGTATCTGCCATTATAACACTAACAAAAATGTTTAATACTAATAACTTCTAAAAAGTAACATGGTATAACAATGTGTTTTTGACACCATCTGAAGTAACATTCAGTACCACAGTATACTGTACTATGCCATTAACTACACATCACTGCATGCTGTACCACAGCAATTTTCCCTTTTGTTTTTTTAAAAGGGAAAGTCACTCTAATAGTCAGCACGTGTCATTACTGTACAGATATTACAGTAATCAAAGTGATTTGAGGAAAATCAGGAGCCCTAACAGGAACGGCGTGTTGTATCAGAACCTTGCTATTAGCTTGCTGCCCAGACTGAAAGCATCTGCCACGTTTCAATGACCCCAATCACGCTGAAGAGCTTGCTCGCTGTCTGATAAACAAACACAAATTGTGTGCTGGTGCATCTTTAAGGTGATTACACACACTCGACTCATAGACCGTTGTGAACAATGAGCCAGACACTTAAAAAACCTTTGAAAATAAACAGCTAACCAACCCTTAGAGAAACAATCACGTCTGTGAATGTAAGGACAGGCTGTAGTAAAGGCCTAAGGCATCAAATGGACCCCTGTGCTGCCAGAGAACGACAGCATCAGAGGCCCTTGGCTAACCTTGACACAGGTCAAACACATCCAAACACTCATTCATCTCTGTAATGAGCAGAAGATGGAGGTTGAGCGGGAAAGCTGGGCAGTGGCAGGCAATTTTAAAGCACATTCAAAGCAGTTTGCTTTTTCTGTGCTGTTTGTTTTCTTGAAAGTGTTTACAGTAATTTCCGTTAAATGAAATAATGATTTCAGGGTAACATTTCTAATTTTAGTTTAGTTTAAGTTTAAACTAGGGATACACGATATTATCGGACCAATATCGGAATCGGCCGATAATGGCTTTAAATGTAAATATCGGCATCGGCCCGATATGAAAAATCATGACCAAAAATCCAATATCGTGCATCCCTAGTTGAAACTAAAATTAGTGGTATTATTGTTAGCTCAAACTGTTAAAATATTTACATTCATTCCCATAGGAAAAATGTATTGCTCAGTGCGGTTGCTTTTCCTAAGCTCAGGAGACTTCTCATATATCTCTCATTTTAGGATCAACAGCATTTCAGATGGTTCTCCTAAAATTCCTTAGGAGAAATGGAAGTAGACACAAATGAGACATGAGAAATATTTGAGAAAAAAAAAGAATCAAAACTGAGAATGTGGTGGAAGAAACTTAGAATATCTCTTTATTGTCTTGCTGCAATCTCTATCAAGACTCCATTATAGGAATATTTTATTGCTCAGTGGTTGCTCTTTCTAACCTCAGGAGACTTAGT